ATAGGAAATGAAAAATGATGTCAATATACATTCCTATCTGCTTTCAGCATTTAATCTTAACACTTGTAAATGTATATTTAGTTGCTGATGTGCATATAGATCAAGGACTTTGCTTTGAATATAGGATGCTGACTATCCATTTTCTCTTTTTATTGAAAATTAACCCTGTATTTTAGATTTTCAATTTTGGTTTCTTCAAAAAGGAGCAAAAACTTAGATACTGTGAAATAATATGAATGCAGTCTTTCTAGACTTTTTGCTTTCATTTAAGTCTCCAGCTGTCTCACCTGTCCCTACTTTGACAGTATTTTTTCTGGAATTTACCTTTCTATCAAGTCTTACCAAAGCATTCCACATAGTTTTCATAGAAATGCCCCCCCCACGTGCTTATAATTTAATGGACATATGTAATATATCATGAATTACATAATTACTAAAGCTGCATAAACAAATTCTAGCATAGTTTGAGCAGAAGTGTGTGGGAGTACTGGAGATTAACCTACCACCCACTAGTGTATAGTGAGCTGTGGGCATCTGTCACTATATTTAATAGCAGGGAATTGAGAGCCTTTGTTAATCTGGAAGTAAGTTAAATAAATAGAGGTGTATCAAAAGTGCTTCTGTTATAGTAAAATGATTTGTATACCAGTGTTATCCTCATCCTATTAGATCAGCAACTCTCAAAATGTGGTCCAGAAACCACTGGGTAGAGGGGGTCCCTGAGACCCTTTCAAGGGATCTGTGAGATCAAAACTACTTTTGTAGTAATGCTAAATGCTTTGTTTTTTTCGCTCCCATTCTCTAGAAATTTCTTAGTTTTAGTTTCTAATATGGTAGTTATTGGTAATTAAAACTCACGTAATTACATTGCTTTTCCAAAATTTATTTTTTAATTTGACAGGTAAAGTTTGTATATGTTTATGATATACATGATGTTTTGATATGTGCGTACTTTGTGGAATTTAGGACTAAGTCAAGCTATTCACGCCTATACTTTTTAATACTGTATGCCATAGAACGTTTGGGGAGGGCTGTACTCAACTGTGTGTTCCTTGTGGGAAGGAGCCATGTTTCATTTGTCTTTGGTATCCCTTATGTGCTCTTAAGTTATCTCTTATATAATAGGGACTCAGTAAATATTTGATAAATATATGAGAATAAGGAGGATAACTTTTCAAGTATTTATGGTCTTTTCAAACTGGGCCGAAAAAATAGTTTTAAGTAAGAGTTCCTGTATTCATTAATAGGATCCATAATGAACAGCAGTAGTGAGCAAATGAGTGTTTTTAAATGTTTTTTATAATAAAACTTAATATCTTTCCTTTGAAATCATAAGCCATGTTTTGAAGAGAAAGAATATGAGAACATGTTGCCGTGAGACATGGAAAAGTATATGAAGGCTTTAAAAAAAGAGCAGGCAAATCATGCTTAGGAGACTGCATCGTAAGTAAATTGGCCTTTAAAAAAATTATTGAAGAGAGAAGGGGAGAAAGGAAGCGAACAGAGGTGTGAGGTTATTTAAGGGCATCCAACTGGTGGGAAGATACATTGCTGATGAACACCTTTCCTTTCACTTTGAGTAGCATTTGAAAGCTATTTTGGGTTTGAAAAGGAGTGATAATGGACAAAAAATTATGGCTTAAGGAAGTAAGTTTTATTATTTTGTGTGAGTGACCTTGCTTGAAGACTAGTGAGGAGAGTGGTGGCCAGGATGAGATGGGCAGGTGCTTTGAACCTGTGTCCTACCCTTTCAAGTGTCATATGGAGAAAGTTGATAGCACAAACCTGTAACTAAAATTTAAATCCAGCTGTTTACCTGGAGCGAGTTACTGCTAAAGAAGTGGGAAATATTCACTTGTTAAAAGACAGCTTCTTGGCCGGGTGCAGTGACTCATGCCTATAATCCCAGCACTTTGGGAGGCCGAGGTGAGAGGATTGCCTGAGCCCATGGATTTAAGACTAGCTTGGGCAACTTGGCGAGACCTCATCTCTACAATAAATCAAGAAAAATGAGCCAAGTGTGGTGAGGCATGCCTGTAGTTCTAGCTACTTGGAAGACAGAGGTGGAAGGATCGCCTGAGCCCAGCAGGTCAAGGCTGCAGTGACTGTGAGCATGCCACTGCACTCCATCCTGGGCAACAGAGTGAGACTCCGATTCCAAAAAAAAGGGCAGCTTCTTTAGTATTAAACTTTAATAAGCACATGGATATGTGACTGAATTATTTTCAGGGACAATATTCTAAATTTATTTTTTTAAAGAATTTGTGTTCCAATATTGGACTTTCCTCATGCATTTATGACACTTTATACATCAGAATGTCCTAAATCTTGTTATTATTATGATGACTTAAGAAGTTTTCTTGATAGAACTTTTAGCTTCAGTGAGAGATAAACTTGAATATAAGATTTTGTTTTGCTTTAAGAAAAATTCAAATTTTAACCTTATTAAATAAATTCACTGGTGAGAGGATAGATTTTTATCAATATTTTTTATTATGGTTTTGTGGAATACAGTTAAGGGTTAGGTGTACAATTACGTTTCATTCAGGCACCCTGTTGATAAGGGGTGTTTCCCCATCCCCAGACAGATATTTGCTACTGTAAATCCCATCCCCCCACCATAGTTTCCCAGTACCGTCAATCATTTTCTTATAGTATTACATTGGATGTTCAAGGTCCATTATATGAGTGAGAACATGTGATACTCGGATCTTTGTTTCTGTGAGAGGTCACTCAGTGTTATAGACTCTAGTTCCATCCAGGCTGCTGTGAAATTCATGATTTTGTTCTTTTTTATGGCTGCGTAGTATTCCATCGTGTATATGTACCACATTTTTTTAATACAGTCCTCTTTTGATGGGCAGCACGGTTGTTTCCAGGTTCTTGCTATTGTGAACAATGCTGCAAGAAACATACGTGTGTAGGTATCTTTTTTATAGAGTGATTTGAGTTCTTCAGGGTATATTCCCAGTAGGGGGATTGTGGGGTCATATGGGAGGTTGATATTTAGAGCTTTAAGGAATCGCCACACTGCTTTCCACAGAGGTTGCACTAGTTTACACTCCCACCAACAGTGTAGAAGTGTTCCCTTTTCACCACACCTTCTCCAGCAGCTGTTATTTTTTGAGTTGTTGATAATTGCCATTCTGACTGGAGTTAGGTGGTATCTCAGTGTGGTTTTGATTTGCGTCTCCCTGATGATTAGTGAGGTTGAACATTTCTTCATGTGTTTGTTGGCTGCTCAGATGTCCTCTTTTGTGAAGTGTCTGTTCATATCTTTTGCCCATTTTATAATGGGTTGTTTGTTTTTTTCTTTTCAGCACGTTTGAGTTCCTTGTAGATCCAGGATGTTAAGCCTTTGTCAGACCTGGTGTTGGCAAATATTTTTTCCCAGTTTGTAGGCTGTCTCCCTGCTCTCTTGATGGTTTCTTTGGCTTTGCAGAAACTTGTCAGTTTAATAAGGTTCCACTTGTCTAGAGAGGATAGATTTTTAAACTTAAATGAATATAAAACAGTTATAATTTTTTTTTTTAATTTGAGTTGGAGTCTCACTCTGTCACCCAGATTGGAGTACGGTGGCCGCTTCCAGCCACCGCAGCCTCGACCTGCTGGGCTCCGGCGATCCTTCCGCCTCAGCCTTCCAAGTAGCCGGAATTACAGGCATGAGCTACCACACCCAGCTAATTTTTTGATTTATTGTAGAGATGAGGTCTCGCCTACCCAGGCGGGTCTCGAACCCGCGGGCTCAGGCAATCCACTCACCTCAGCCTCCTAAAGGCGCGGGATTACAGGCTGAGCCACCGAGCCCGGCTACAGTTATGAATTTTTAATGGTTTCCTTCCTGTCACATTTGGTATAAGGTAGGCATGGCTCTCATCATTGCTCTTTTTAGCCTCTACTTGAGATTTTTACATGTGTTGCGTTGAGGGACCCTGGATAAATTGAATGCATGCAGTGTATTTGTAAGTAGTATAGTATGAAGTCACTTATATTTGGGGACAAAATCAAGAAAGGTCACTTTAAGAAAGCTTTTCTAGTATAAATCATGTAGGCATGGTCTCTACACACTCTACATTTTGATCAATTTATTTGTCTTCCTCAGTGAACTGTATACTTCCTGAAGACAGTACTATGTCTTAGTCTAGTCATCTTTGATTCCGCAATACCTAGATGGTGCCCTTTGCATAGTAGACATTCAGTTAATGTTAGTGGAATGAATGAAGTATTTCTCCCTGAAGTGATGAGTCATAATGCATTACTCATGAGCCAGAGGATTTCCTGAGTCTTTTCTCAAAACCCAGATGAATTCTCATGGAAATATGACTGAACCATATCTGTTCCTAAGCATAGTCACACATTTCCAAAGTGTAATGCTGGTGTCATTATGAGCCATTCGTATACGTATTATATAATTTCTAGCTTGACACACCCAGATCTAAAATTCTGCTGAAAAACAGATGTCAGAGCAACTGGCAGTCCAAACTGGTACACAGACAGTAGACTGCCCAGTTTCACAGTATTTTCTGAGCTAGCTGTTCTAGTCACAGTATATTCTAGAATTTTAATTTATTTACACACGTGTACACACATATATATCTTTGATTAATCTTTTACACTAAGATTTACACTGATCTTTTGATTTAGACTGTGTTTTCAGAAGTTACTTCTCTGCCAAAGATGATAGCCTCTGTTTGCTTCAAAATTTTTAAAATTTGATTTTATGTTCTTCTAAGTCACCTCATTTAGAAAGAGCTAAGTATATAAAGGCTGTTATTGACAAGGGACTATAGTAGCCCAGTAAACAAACCTGACAGGTACCCAGTTTGTTACTAGCCAAGAATAAGGTTTCCCTTTATTCTGGTTGTTATAAACCGGAAACTATTTTTTGTTCTCTTTGTTTTTATTATTAATTATATTTGATTATCATGTTACTGTGCCTAATGTGTCAAAATATTGAAAATGATAAATATTATCTCTGAAAACTTTTTTTTCCATTCAAGATAAGCTGTCACTGGAAGGAATAGTGGTACAAAGAGCTGAATGCCGACCGGCTGCCAGTGAAAACTACATGAAATTGAAGAGGTTGGTGTTTTGTAACTTTAAATGATAACCTGATATTTCCCCTTGGGGATTGAGAGACATATATTAGATTGCCTATTGACTATGAAAACTATTGTTAAAAGTGTTTCAATGGCTGTTTGGTTTTGAAACCAGGTAAGTTTCTTTGGCAGTAGGGAACTTTTGGTACCTGAGCTGTTTATTTGAGGTATTCTAAGTTCCTGTATTTATATATCCTGGAATCAAAGTTTTAAAACGACATTTTCTAGTTATTCTTATAAAATCTTGATTCTCTAAAGACACATAATATATGACCTTTGTACTATTTTATTTTCAAAGGCTGTAATATTCTTATAGTGACTATGTATCCAGAATACCATACTGTATAACGCAAGTCTAGTTTCCAAAATATTATCCTATTCTCTTGATCTACAAATAACTTTTAATAAACTTATATACTTTGTTAGAGATTAGGTTTCAGGATCCACCAGTGCCCCTAGCTTTTTTATGTGGTTAACATTTTGTTGTTTGTAAGTCCAATAAAACTAGTCTAGGTATCCAACTAACACAATCATCTACATAATACTGTGCTATAATATGCTTGTAATACTTGTCACACAAATAATAATACATAAAAGGGCCAGGCACGGTGGCTCATGCCTGTAATCTCAGTACTTTGCGAGGCAGAGGTGAGAGGATTGTTGGTGAGACCTCATCTCTATAATACTTCAAAAAATTAGCTGGCGTAGTGGCACACGCCTGTAGTTCCAGCTGCTTGAAAGGCTAAGGTGGAAGGATCACCTGAGCCTAGTAGGTTGAGGCTGCAGTGGCTGTGTGTGTGCCACAGCACTCCACCCTGGGTGACAGAGTGAGACTCCAACTCACCAAGTCACATGCCAGTTCCTGTATGCCAGTGTTTGTAATGTACTGTACTAATGTACTTTTCAAGGTAGTGGACTGTAAGATTAAAACAAAATTTTTTTCTTTTGATTTGGAGTCTCATTCTCACCCGGGCTGGAGTACAATGGCATGCTCATGGCCACCGCAGCCTCAACCTGCTGGGCTTAGGTGATCCTCCCACCTCAGCCTCCCAGAGTGCTGGGATTACAGATGTGAGCCACCATGCCCAGTGAGTCAGCAATTTTGTAAGCCCTGAAGATATATATTAGACCTTTTTCATAGTTTGTTGGTAATGTATTTTAGCCCCATATGATCTAGAATGATATTTGATTGTTCATTCATTCAGCACTTACTACCTGCCAGATGCTTCTTAGGACCTAGAGATATAGCACTAAATAAAACAAACAAAAATCTCCTCAAAGAACTTCCATTTTAGTAGATTGTAGCCACACTGAACTGGTAGTTGAGAACACATTGCTTAAGTAGTAGTAGTAACAGCCTCTTGGATACGAGTGTTTTCATCTATGAAAGATGCCAGTTGAGCTGGATCATCTTAACTTTCACATCTTTAAAATCTTTCCCCTTTTGTCAGTTGGATTAGACTGTATCTCCTGAGAATGACACAAACTGGTTTTCTTGTCCAATAATTCCTCTAATTTAAATGCCTCCCCAGGGCAAGTAAAAGGATGACAATCAAAATGAAAATTTTTTATAATAAAAAATAGCTTTGGAAAATAGGCAAAATATGTTTCTTTCTTTGTTTTTAGTCTGTGAGGTTTATTATATAATACAAGTCTTTTTGAAGATTTATCTTCTTTAGATAACTTCTGAAATAGAAAAATGCAAAGTATGGTATGGAACAGCTTGCCAAGATATTTTTCCATAGCCTGAATTTTCTTGAAAAGGTTTCTAAAGATTTCTGATGACGAGATCAGGCAAGTCACCTGCTGTGTTTATAAAATGGCTGCTTTTTCATTACCAAAAAAAGAAGTGAAAATTGTTTAGCCTTTCAAGTGTGCTGAAAGACCAACCATTATATATAGAATCATGCACTGTGAAGGTCATTTTGGTGGTCCTCTAAGATTACAATACTGTGTTTTTACTGTACCTTTTCTGTGTTTAGATACACAAGTAGTTACCTTTGTGTTATTGTTGCCTACAGTATACAATAATATGCTGTCCAGGTTTTGGCCTAGGACCAACAGGCTATATAGCATTAGCCCAAGATGTATAGTAGGCTGTACCCTTTAGACCTAGTACATTCTACAATGTTTGTACAACAGTAAAATCATCAAACAACTCATTTGTCAGAACATGTCCTCATCATTAAGCAACGCATGATCATGTTTTAGTCTTAAGTGACTTACAGAAAGAAACAGGTGATTCAGGAGGCTCGTGTGAATTTCTTGTACTAGAATGGTAGGTGACATAAGTCTTAAAGACTGAGGTTTTTTTTGACCAAGTGAAAAAAGACAGGGGTAAAAACATTCAAAATAGACATGCAGATACAGACATGAGGAAACTTTTACGGATGTGGTTCTATAAGCCTGGAATGCAGAATTTGTTTGAGAGGAAGGCAGAAGCTCCAGTCCAGACCTCTTTCTTAACCTTCAAACTTATGTATACAAAAGCCCTGCTGTTAAATTTTGACTGATAAATTAGCCAGATATCATGGGATTATAACCTCCATGTTGATCAAATGTAAGTTAATAAGATTCTATTATTCATTTAAATAAAGGTGGAAATTAAATACATACAGTAAACTCAAGAAATATGTAAGCCATTCAGTCAATTCAATTCAGGCCAAGAAAAAAATGTATTTTTGTTTCATCAGATCCCATCACATAGTTTAAAAATCCTGGAAGAATCCAGTTAGCCACAAAAAGGAAACCCCGATAACTTTGTTTGCCAGTCTTAAAATTGTAACACCCTAACTCTTCATAGGGAGGGAAAAAAATGTTCTTACATCTATTACTTTCTCTTTATTTGATATTAATTTGGATTGATATGAGTTTTTTATTAGGAGAACATTTATTTTGAATTGGTAAATATAAATATATTTAACATCAGGTTATGTCTGATGTACTAATTCAAAATTGATTTAATTTGGGTTGTTTTAAGTATAACTTTTATTTCAGCCTCTTGAGTTTTTTGTTAATCGTTGAATAATAAATTATATGACCACCCTTTTTATTTTTTATTTTTTTGAATCAGAGACTCGCTCTTTTGCCCAGACTAGAGTGCAGTGGCACGCTCACAGCTACCACAGCCCCGACCTGCTGGGTTCAGGCAATCTTCCACCTCAGCTTTCCAAGTAGCTGAAACTACAGGCATGCTCTATCATGCCTGGCTAATTTTTTTTTTTTTTTTAGCTGTAGAGATGTGGTCTCTTGAAGTTGTCCACGCTGGTCTCAAACTCCTGGGCTCAGGTGGTCCTCTTGTCTCCATCTCTCAAAATTCTGGGATTACAGGCATGAACCACCGCATCTGGCTCCCACCCTATTTATAATTCACGTTGTACTTTGGTAAGTATAAAGGCACATAAATGTAAAATTATCATCCTACCATGTTTTCTTATAGGAAAGTCACAGGAGTAGGAAACTATGGCTTTTTAATTTCTGTATATGTCACCAACTCATATAAAAATACTTGTTTCAGGAGTTTTTATTTTCATGGGTTCTGATTCCATCCCTAAACCGATGATTTTGTCAGTGAAAATGGATTACATGGACTGATTGGAGCCCACCTGAAATGTGTAGGTGGGAGTAGTAGGTCCCCTCCAAAGCAGGTGGCTGCTACTCAATAGGAAGGAAGTGGAGTGGATGCTAGGGAGACAGTCATAAGAGCCACAGCAAAATCTGTTCTGCCAGAAAGTCTCTTAGAGATAGGAAGAATTCATCAGAGACAGTGGCACCTGTGATTTCTTTCCTTGAGAAAGGGCCATTTTATCTCTACAGAGAATCAATACTTTTATTAGAAAGTAGTTCTGGATCTACAAAGATCCCTTGTTAGTAGGGTCAGATAGTTAAGGGGTTGAGCTCTGGAGTTCCCCATTTGCTGGCTGTATGATCCTGGGCAAAGTACATGACCTTTCTGTAAAAGCCTTTGTTTCCTTTTCTGGGATAATAGCATTTATCTCAGTGTTTTGATAAAGATTAAATAAAATAATACTCTATTATTGCAGGGTGTCTGGTACAAGAGTATGTACTCAAGAAATGTTAACTATTAGTCTTATGACAATAACCTGAGTAAGAACACCTGTCCTGAAAACTGCTAGAGATATTCCTAACTCCAATTTGTCTTATTTCTCATGATAGAAGAGACTTACACACAAGAAAGTTTTTTGTTTTTTTGGTTTTTTTTGAGTTGGAGTCTCACTCTGTCACTCAGACGAATGCAGTGGCATGCTCCCGGCCACTGCAGCCTCGGCCTGCTGGGCTCCGGTGATCCTTCTGCCTCAGCCTTCCAAGTAGCTGGAACTACAGGTATGCGCCACCATGCCTGGCTAATTTTTTAATTTATTGTAGAGATGAGGTCTTGCCAAGTTGTCCAGGCAGGTCTCAAACCCGCAGGCTCAGGCAATTCACTCACCTCAGCCTCCCAAAGCACGGGATTACAGGCTGAGCCACCAAGCCCGGCTGAAAGATTCTTTTAAATTCCTGACCCGTGGAAGGTAAATTGGTTTAATCAATTTTGAATTAGAAATAGAGCCAGTCTATGTGCAGTAGCTCACTCACCCCTGTAATCCCAGCACTTTAGGAGCCTGAGATGGGATGGTTGCTTGAGCCCAAGAGTTCAAGACCAGCCTAGGCAACATCGCGAGACCATGTTTCTACAGAAAAAAAATTAAAAACTAGCTGGGCATAATAGTGTGTGTCTATAGTCTCATCTACTCGGGAGACTGGGGCAGAAGGATTGCCTAAACCCAGAGGTCGAGGCTAGAGAAAGAATCTGAAGATTTTATTATAGAGTTCATGATAATAATCCTTTTTTCAGAGCCAGGTATGGTGGCCTGCACCTGTGTTCCCAGCTACTTGGGAGGCTGAGGCAGGAGGATTGCTTGAACCCAGGAATTCGAGACTAGTGTGTGCAGTGATTATGCCTGTGAATAGTCATTGCATTCC